ACATTATCTTTTGAAAAAGCTGACTGCTTTTTCAATGTGCTTTTGCTGTGTGGACGCTCTCTTTCGAAAGAAGTTTTTCTGGAAGATCTCTTCCGGAAAAGCTTCTTCCGAAAGAAGCCTTCAGTGTAGACAAAGCCAGGGTGTTTGGCCCTGGGGTTTCTGGGCCCTTGTAGAAGGCTCAGGAATAGGGGTAAGTGTGGAGGCCGGCTTAGCCCTGCCTCGGGGGATCATTTCCACCCTCTTGGCTTGCCTCACATGGTTGGCTAAGTCCTCTCCCACCAGCACAGGAATGGAATAATCGTCATAGGCTGCAAAAGTTCAAATTTCTGACCAACCCTTGTACTTTATGGTCAAGTTGTCTGTTGGCAGGTCAAAAGAGTCTGCCTTGAAGGGTTGAACAGTTATTTGAGCTTCTGAGTTGATGAGTTTAGGGTCTACTAGTGACTGGTGGATCTGTAATATTTGTGCTTGTCATTAGCGCAAGGTAGATTGCTGGAGAATGGTGTGGGGGGGACTTTCCTTGTGGTGGTGAGCGTTCCCCCCTGCCAGGTAGACCCTTGGCTTGCCCCCTGTGGTGGCATACCATCTCTGGATGCCCTTTCTGGTATCCCCACAAACTGCTATTACTTCTGTTCCTCTCAATCACCTCCACTCACCTGGCTCCAATGTCTCTCTGCCTCTCTTATGGCTTTGGGTTTCCCATACAGGATATATCTTTATACCTCTTGAGAAACACCTCTAGGAACTGTTCGATTCTTATTAGGAGAGAGAACTTCCATCGTCTTAGCATTTGCTGCTGAGATCCATGTGTCTTAGTTTTTGTCAATCTGGTAGGCATGCTGAGTGAATACCACAGCTGGTTTCCATCTTAGGGCTCTAAAACAGTGATAGGCCTGTTCAAGGATGAGCCCCATCCTAATTCTGGCCTTTTTGAAAAAGAATTGTTTTCTCTAGGCATTTCAATTGCCACTTCTGCAAGGTGTCCACTGAGTTGTCCCTCAGCTCCAAAATGTACTGGTCTGTGGAGAGATGCTGGACCCAAGCCAGGCCTTTTCAAAACAATTAAAGAAGGCCTCTCCATCTACCTTGTTGTCACCAGTTCCCCTAAATCGTCCCCTCCTCCCCCCGTACGAGCCGAACAGTGTCTATGACTCTAGGCGTCTCTATACGTGGTCTTTTCATACTGGCTCTCCTCCGGACCGGGTTTGGGTTCATGAGGGCCCCTCGAGCTTCGGCATAGGTGGCCTCTCGGGGCCAGGGAAGGGGGCTCGGGCCCTTCCTCTCTCCGAGCCCCGGCCCAGGGCCCTAAGGCAGGGACACTCATCCCTACTCAGTGGTGGGGGCTGGAGCCCCTAAACCCTCCACTCACGGGGACCACGGCCCTGCCCTGGGCCACTTCTTTCCCGACGGATCCTATGGCTCCCAGTGCAGAGCCAGACTTACTCTTTCTCTCCTCCCAGGATGCACGCCCTTTCGCTCTGGCTCACCCCCCTTTTGTCGGGCTCCTTGCCCCCTTTAAACTGCCCACCTTGGCGTCTATCTCCAGCCCCACCCCCGCACTCCTCTCCCCGCCCCGCTGGGACGTGCGTGTGACGTCATTTGCGGCGTCATCCGGCTGCACTGCGCTTGTCTGTCCGTCCGCGGTTGTGGCGCCACCTCTGGACCCACGGCTGTCCGCTGCCTGCCCTCCTCTTCTCCTGCCCGCAACCCAGGGCTGTCTCCAGTGCGGGGCGGCGCTGCTTTGCTGCCGGTCCCATCACACTTGTACACTGGATATTTCTTGGAATGGGGAACATTAACAGAGCAGGATGGGTAGTTAGTTGGTGTAGCTGAAATTCCCAGCTTTTCAGCTTTTTCCAGCTCAAAGTGCCTGTCTTTCTGGTACAAAGTACTGGAAATTGGTTCTTAGGTTATGGTTGTGGAGTACTTGTGAGAGAATGCAGAAAGAAAAAGAACACGATTGCAGTGTCGATGTAATTGGAGTTTTTTGAAAAACCTCTGCAGTGTAGACACAGCCTCAGAGGCATACAAAGAAGGAATTCATACACACTTTGCACAGAGACTAGCACATTTGCTTGTTTACTTTATCATGTAAAGTTCAGGAGAGTACAGATCATACAAAACAAAAAACATCTTAAACCAGTATCCGTAGGTGCCCCTTTCCTTGTGCATCTTTAGGGGACCATCAGTGTCCAGCAAGGTTTCCCCTGCCTCATAAGGGCTAGATCCTCACTGATGGGAGAAAATGGCTCCTGAAAACAGCTTTTGTCCTTTTAGAACCTTTTGGCCTCCTCTATCAATATTACCATTTTCAACCCGAAACTTGCCCCTCTCCAGGAGACTTTGTTGCTGAGGCAATCTCTCTCCCGACCAACCAGTTCCACTAGGCATGAGAAAATCGATTGTATACAGTGATTACATTTCAGTGGGAGAGCACTTAATTCCCTTTTGCCATTCTCCGTCCTGGGGCAAAGTGGAATCTCCCTACTTTCCCAAGCCCAGTCACCTTCTTTATACTTCCTAGAAAGCGGTGATGTGGTTTCCCACCTCCCCCTTTCCCTAGGTTTAATTACAACTCAACTATCCACACTGAAACCATAGATTAATTAAGGGTCACATTTCCCCCCACACCACTTACTCAAGCAGTTGAGCAAGGAGAGGCCAGAAAGTTTCAAAAGGCCAGACAGTGTCCCGCTCAGGAGTCATTTTCTTAATTCACATCCCTCTGGTAGGTATCATCAAGTTGGCATAAGACTCCTCACAACAGCATTTGGCTGTGCTGCATTCTCCCTGTACCTGAAACGTTTTGAATCACAGCACCTGTTAGCTGACCCTCAGACTCCTCATGGTATTCTGGCCTACAGCATCTTCTAGCTGTGCAAAGTCTCTGGATGTACCTGCTTCACAGTTGTTGAGTGCCAGCAACAGTGTTAAATTGTAGCCAGAAAATTCATACCTTTCAAGTATGGAGAAGTCTGAGAGGGTCACCCCAGCACTCCAAGGGGATGAAAGCAGCTGCACAGTGGGTTTCGGCTCTCAGGATGGGGTACTAGCTAGCAGGTCTGCACCCCAAGAGTGTCTTAGGAATCCCAAGATTGAGGAAGTGGTTGGACTCCGGTCAAGCTCTGAAAATCACAGAAGCTTGCATTCCCCTCACACTAGTTCGGTGCTGGGATGGCTGCAAGAGGGCACCCAATCAAATCTGTCACATGGCACGAGTCACACTCATCCCAAATATTTACCAACTGCCCCTCTTATTCCTATCATTGTTATTCATTTCCTTCTCTACATAGATCTATAACGTCAAAATAAATACTAAATTAAAACTAAACAAAATGTTAAAATATCTAGAAAATTAAAACATACAGTGCAGATATTAATATGTATTTTATATATATATACACATTTTATTACACAAAATTATATATTAGTATAAATATATAGATATGGGGGGGTGTTTTTCTGTATGGTATCTCAATATTTTTTTGGTTGAGACTTAGTTCCTCAGCCACTTTTCGTAGTTCCTCAGCCACTTTTTGTCCAACTCTGGGTTAATTATAACTTAATTGTTTCAATTTCAGAAGCTGTTTCAAAGCTTGTGGTGATTTGTTTGTATGAAAGTTAAAAGCAGTCTGGCTTCAAGGGAGAGTTACTGAAAGTCACAGCCAAGGCCACAATGGAGAATATGTGGTGGGGTGGGACACAAAATAGTCACTTCTAAAACAAGCTTATTGGACAAACCATCAAACACTTCACCTCTGGCAGCCCTTTAGGCTTGGTTTACCCTTAGAAGTTTTGCCTGCCTATCCTATGTCAGTTAGGGATGTTATATTTTGCCGGCATCACTATTTTGGCAAAAGCCCTCATGAGGATACAGGGAAACCAGGAAAAATGTCCTTTTTGCAACCATGCTTATTCTTGCTAGGGGAACCACTTTGAGTTATATCAGCAACAAGCATAACCAATATCAACTGCATATATTTTAGGAAAGGTAGCTGGTAAAACTATACCAGAAAGCCCTTTAAGGGTAAAAAGTCCTTAATTTGTTTGTTAGACAGCAAGCTGTACTAAGAATATTAAACAGTCCCCAACAAAGTTTATATGTTTACTTACTTTGGGGGAAGAAGGTAGAGGGGAGACAGAAGCACAGTCAGTGACATACGCTTAAAAATGAATCATCCAGGCCCCAATCATGCAAAAGACTGAAGGCCAACCAAAACAATTCATATGCATGTTTGCTTGCCTCAGAGTTCACATCAGGACCTTGCAGATAGTAGAAGGGAAAGGAATTGCTATATTTATAGTAATCCTATCTCTTACTACTCCTTTATGTAATGGAGAAGGCAATTAAGAAAAATAAAATTACTAAGCACAAGTCCTTTGGCTTGTACAAATGCAGCAGCACAGAGCTGAATCACATGCATGTGAAGAGGTTGCAGTGTTTGGAGTAAGTAGACAATACTCAGTTGTATGTTGCCATTATAATTGAGTCTGTAGTGGAATGGGTGACTTGGTGTCTCCCCAGGACTGGAGTATAGATTAAATCTAGCTGGCTGAGGCTCAATCTAGAGGGAATTGAAACAGCCTTAGAAGGGTGGGAGTAAGCGTCCCTAGGAACTGGTTTAGTCACAAGATTTTCTACTAGATGAAAAACGGGTGTTACCTGCCAGCTAGATTGGGGGTGGGCAATCATTTCTGGCCGGGGACCACTTCAGAAATTTGTGAAGTGGCCCTGGGCCGGGCTCGAAGGGGAGGGGCCTAATCTGGAAGGGATGGGGCCAGACTGCAAAGCCTCCTCCCACCCTACCCCCACCCTGCGAGCAGCGCGTGACACTTTGAAGTGCCGCATGCTCCTCGCAGGGTGAGAGGAGAAGTCCTGATTGGCCTGGGGGCAGGGGGGCTGTGCGAAGCTTCCCTCACCCTGCTCCCACCCTGCGCAAGAGTATGACACTTTGAAGTGCCATGTGCTCCTCGCAGGGCGAGGGTGGAGGAAACTTCGCACGCTCCTCTTGTGCCCAGGCCAATCAGGACTTTAGGGCGGGGGGGAGGGTGCCTGATGTCTCCCCTCGCTCTGCGAGCAGCGCATGGCACTTCAAAGCACTGTGTGCTGCTCGCAAGGTGGAAGGAAGCTTCATGTGCTCCCCTGCTCCCAGGCCCTAATTGGCCTGGGGACGGGGGAGCAGCGGGGCCTCCGTGGGCCGGATCCATCCCGTGGAGGCCCTTTTGCCCACCCCTGAGCTAGATTCATCGTTTTGCAGTCTTGTCAGATCCCGGGTTGCTGCTGAAAACTAAGGCATCAGCTATGGCAAAGACTACATTTAGCCATCTGTTCCCAGTGCGGCCTTTTATTATTTCAGAGGCAGGCCTGCCTGCCCTTACCCAGGCCTTTGTCACTGAAAGATTGGATTACTATAAGGCACTTCCGCAAAGGGGACATCTAGGGAACTTCCGGGAAGCTGAAGTTAGTCCAGAACGTGGGAACCTGTCTGTTAAGTGGGAGCATATAACACCAGTGCTCTGAGAGCAATACTCACTATGTGGGGCTTATAGGGGCAACTCAGGGTGTTGATCATGACCTTTAAAGCCTGGGACAGCTTGGGTCCATATTATCTGAAAGATAGCCTCTCCTCTCGTTCCAGGCTGCCACAGCCAGGAGAAGCATTCCAGTCACAGCTGCCAAGTAGGGCATTCTCTCCAACCGCCCTTAGACTCTGGAATGAGCTCCCAACCAATTCTAGGCTGGGAATGAGTTATAATTGTACGTGGGGGTAGTCGTTTTACCGGGGCCGTTGGTTCTTCTGTTGGTGTGAATACTGGGATGTGGAATGGGCACTGCTAATGGATGTGTTTCAAAAATAAAAACATAACTAAATACAATAAATCTGCAATTTAGAACCCTTCCAACATTGTCCTTCTGCTTGGTTGGGTTATAAGATCTGCTGCAGAGCTATGTATGAACTGACTTTCTTATCCTAGCTTCTGCCTGAAGTTTAGAATTGGAAACGCATGACGCCGAAACGCCTCCGAAACACTCCTAAATACTCGATTACAGCAGCAGATACCCTCAAGAAAACTCAAGAAAAAGCCCACATGCGGATATCTCCTTCTCAACATGGTTTTCCAAGAAAATTCAATTAGCTTTTAACTGGGAAAAAGATTTTTTTCCTCAAGGTGTGTTGTAGCAGGAGTGAATAATTTTGCTGCGGGTCCGAAGTCCTGTTCCAATCATACAGTCTGCTGTTCAGCTCAATATGAATATCCATCAGAGAGAGCTTTCTGTAGAGACAGAAACAAAATTCTCACAAGCGAATGCAGGAGACTATCATTTTCAACACCAGAGGACGGGCTCAATGAGAGGAACGTTGCCAATCTCACTCTTTAATACCAGAGGCAGAGCTCACCAACTTAAGTTACATATCTCCTATACTCCAAACTTGCTAGCATGCCATAGAGGACTGGATTACTTCCACTCATGACATCTTGTGATCAAGTGTTATGTTTTAGCACCTGTGGCAAAGTCCAGAGCTATTACGCTGTTCACACTGACCTTGGACATCAGAGCAGGTGGGACCGCTTTAGCTTAAAATTCAACATAGAGCAATACGGGTATGTCTAGACTACATGCCTCTGCCAACAGAGGCATGTAAAATAGGCTACCTGACAGTCAGTGAAGCGGGGATTTATATATCCCTGGCTTCATTAAAAGAAAAATGGCCACCGTACTGTGCCGGCTCAGCTCAGTCAAGACGTGAATCGGTCGCAGCTGTCGACGTGGATCGGTCGACTGGGAAGCCTTTGTCCACCGCTCCCTTATGCCTCGTTTACAGGAGCGGTTGACAAAGACTTCCCCTGTCGACCAATCTGTGTCTTAACTGCTGTGCTGTGCCGACAATCAGCTGAGCCAGCACAGCGTGGTGGCCATTTTTATTTTAATGAAGCCGGGGATATTTAAATCCCCGCTTCATTGACTATGTCAGGTAGCCTATTTTACATGCCTCTGTCGGCAGAGGCATGTAGTCTAGACACCCTAAATGACCAAGTGGCTCTCTGAGGAAGACTGAACTAGAGTTAAGGTCAAAAGGTCTTGAAGGGATTTTTTTTAAACAAACACCACTAATAAACATTTAGTCAGAGCAGTTTGCAGTTGTAACAGTCCTAGGACTCTGTTATTTAAAGTTAACTTTCAGTTTGGACAAAAGTCTATGAGACACGTGTGTTGGGATAGGAGAACAGCAAGGAATCCTGACTGTTCTCATACCTTTTCCAGGATTGGACCATGCTGCAAGTTACCTGGCAACTCCCAGCTCTGGTATACCCCTACACTCCACTCCAGAATTAGAAACTCAACCCCATGTCTAGAATACCTGGCCTGCACCGTCTATATATGAACTCCAAATGGACCAACCCTCCAGGTCAGGGCACAATCTTCCTCTACAGTCTCACACATTGCCAAAATGCTCTGTAATACTAAGCAGGATGAAACCTCACCTCTCTTCCTCTAGGGCAATAAGGTGAATGAAAAGAGGGTTTTTGTTTTGTTACCTTTTATGAGGATTGCATAGGAGCTCAGCCAAACAGCGCAGATAATAGGAGGAGGAGCCGGATGACCTTTCTAGCACAGACACATCCACCTTGCATTGACTCCAAAAGATGTCTGCTACAGGGGGAATACTACAGCTCCAAAATCTTGTGGTAGTAGTAGTGATTTTCTGTTCATTCCCATCCACCTCCAGTAGACTGGTGGGTTCTTGCTGATCTGCTGGCACAATGTAGCTTTGAATAAAGAAGAGTTTTGGTTTCCCTAGAAGTTCAGGGCATGAATCTCCAGTAAAAAACTTCTTCACCCTGTCCAAGGGGAACCCAGGAAAAGTCTGGTCTATGCAGAAGATGCTCTGAGGGCTCCCACGGCTGACCAATATGCAAATAAAGCTGTCATAGTCTCTGTGCTGTTGCAGCCTTGCAACTTCATGGAATGTTTGTTTCATGGCTTCCACACTTAAATACTTGTGACAGCGAACTTCAAAGCCTAGAGCTTTAAAGGTCACTTCCAGTAAATCTGGAAAAAGAAGGAGGAATTTATTAAAGTAAATGTATTTTGAGACTCCGTGACCATCAGCCATGTTGAAGGGCTCTTAATATAATGGTGTTTCACTACTGAAAAATCAAGAGGTTTGTTTTACTAAAGAAGTTCAACCAAAATCTAGACTCTTTGCTTTGGTATCAGTGGCACAGTGGATTACACACAGGAAGGTATCAACATGCTATCTTGAATATGAGGGAGGTGTTACAGATTCAAGGTAAGTGCATCTGTATTCCTCCACCAAGGGTACCTGTTTTACGCTCTCAGCTCCTCAGCCACCACTCTTCTGGGGAGAGACCTGTCTCACTCTCTCCACAGGCTGCAATCAGCTGCATACACATGATATCCCTGAGCAAGCCAGACTACCTAAAAGATTAGCATTTGCACTTTGCTTTATCTACAAATTACCACACAATCCCCTCTAAGCAGGCAGATTTATTCTTAAGGTGAAAGCATCAAAGAGAAACACATTAAAAACAAATCGAAGAAACTGCACATGTGCCGTGAAGCTTACTAGAGGGCACTCCATCTCCAACCACATCTCCCTCTGTTAGGTATCAGACCTTCCAAACCCACAACTGGTTTTTCCCTGTGATAACTAGGGATGTGAAATTATAAATATGTAAACGGTTAACCGAGAACACTAGGGTTATCGTTTAATGTTCACAGTTACATGCAGGCTCCTGCCCCACTCCTGGAGAGCCAGCTGCCGCTATATGCTGCTGCTTCTGTGGCAGTCAGCTTCTCGGGCTGCAGGCGGGAGCTGGTGTGCACTGAGAGCTGGCTTAAAATTTTCATCAGTTACATGTTTATCCAATTACCTGCTTTGTAACATCTCTAGTGATAATAAGCTCATAACGGTTTCAGATGCAGAACCAACACACGGGTTAGGCAGTTCAATCATTTCTTCATACAGGCAAGGCAAGGCCTTTCACTCCAGCCTCTGGGAAGAAGTGATCAACAGACAATGACCTGCTTATCTTCAGAAGGCTGGAGCATAACGAGAGATGAGGAAGCTGCATTAACCTCCCCAGGAAATTCATTTCAGGCTTAGTGTCTAAAGTCCATTCTTGTCTGGAACTTTTAAAATATAATCCTTTGAATTCTATTGGAAGCGTCAAGGCTATTCCCCACTCTGGCACGACGAATGCAGAAGTGGGGACCCACAAGAGCACTCCAAAACCTTGCCTCTACAAGCTCTGGTACAAATACTTCCCCCCCAAAAATCCTATTAGCCAGATTTTGGGGGACCTGCTGCCACCAACCAAGTAATTCCAAGAAAATCAGGGAAGAGATCACTTGGGAAATCCCCTCCCCAAGTAAAATACTCCTACCTGCCCCAACCTCCGTTTTGCTTAGAGTTGGGGAACAACAGAGGGACAACACTGGACTCTGCTCTTGTAACTAGGCACTGAGTCCTACGGTCACAACAATCAACCAATACCAGTTAATAAGGAAAAAAACAATATTTTATTATCAAAACAAAACTACAGTTGCAAGCATAGTAAATTGGCTAGATGGAAAGAGCCACCATTTGATATAGATACTCAGGGAAAGTCCCTGGGCTGAGGGCTTATTGACAAAAGAGAAAAAAAACAATTAAACTCACACATTATTTCCAAACCCTCAAACAAGGAAAACAATAAACTCTGATCGACTATCTAAACTTTTCCCTACTTACACGTTGTAAGAAGTCTGTTCTTGAAGAGAGAAGCATCTCCCATTTCCCTCAATAACTGAGAGAAACTGCTCTGAGTCTCAAACAAAGAAGAGAGAGAGAGAAACCCCTCTTTTCCAGTTTGAATTTCCTACCTGCATTGTTATTGAATGACCATCTGATACTTTGGCTAGGAGACATCAGTTAACCCCTTAGTCACTGGGTGCTGGTCAGCACTCCTGATCTTGACAGGAAGTATGGGAAGGTGGTGTGGGAAGGAGATGGGCAGCCCTCAGTGGAGAAAGAGCAGGTTAAGAACTATTTAGAAAAACTAGACATACACAAATCCATGGGTCCAGATTTAATGCATCCGACGGTACTAAAGGAGTAGGCAAATGTCATTGCAGAGCCTTTGGCCGTTATCTTTGAAAATTCGTGGAAATCAGGAGAAGTCCCAGATAATTGGAAAAAGGCAAATGTAGTGCCCATCTTTAAAAAAGGGAAGAAGGACAATCCAGAAAACTATAGACCAGTCAGCCTCAGTCTCCGGAAAAATCAATGTGGAGATCATCAAGGAATCCATTTTGAGGCACTTGGAAGAGGGGGAAGTGATCAGGAATAGTCAACATAGATTCACGCAGGGCAAGTTATGCCTGACCAACCTGATTAGCTTCTATGATGAGGTAACTGGCTCTGTGGATATGATATACCTTGACTTTAGGAAAGCTTTTTATACAGACTCCCACAATATTCTTGGCAGCTAGTTAAGGAAGTATGGATTGGATAAATGGACTGTAAGGTGGACAGAAAGTTGGCTAGATTGTCGATCCCAATGGGTAGTGATCAACGGCTCAATGTCTGGTTGGTGGCTGGTTTCAAGCAGAGTGCCCCAAGGATTGGTTCTAGGGCCAGTTTTGTTCAACAGCTTTATTAACGACCTGGATGAGGGGATGGATTACACCCTTAGCAAGTTTGTGGATGACACTAAGCTGGGGGGAGAGGTAGATACGTTAGAGAGCAGGGATAGGGTCCAGAGTGACCTAGACAAATTGGAGGACTGAGCCAAAAGAAATCTGATGAGCTTCAGCAAGGACAAGTGCAGAGTCTTGCACTTGGGACAGAAGAATTCCAAGCACTGTTACAGGCTGGGGACAGAGAGGCTAAGCAACAGTTTGGTAGAAAAGGACCCAGAGATAACAGTGGATGAGAAGCTGGATATGAGTCAACGGTGTGCCTATGTAGCCAAGGCTAATGGCATATTAGGATGCATTAGGAAGAACACTGCCAGCAGATCTAGAGAAGTTATTAATCCCCTTTATTCTTCAGTGGTGAGGCCACATCTGGAGGATTGCATCCAGTTTTGGGCCCCCCACTATAGAAAGGATGTGGACGCATTGGAGAGGGTCCAACGGAGGGCAATCAAAATGATTAGAGAGTTGGAGCACATGACATACGAGGAGAGGCTGAGGGATTTGGTCTTATTTAGTCTGCAGAAGAGAAGAATGAGGGGGGATTTGATAGCAGCCTTCAACTTCCTGAAGGGAGGTTCCAAAGAGGATGGAGAGAGGCTGTTCTCAGTAGTGACAGATTTCAGAAGAAGGAGCAATTGTCTTAAGTTACAGTGGGGGAGGTCTAGGTTGGATACTTGGAAAAACTATTTCATTAGGAGGGTGGGGAAGCACTGGAATGGGTTATGCAGGGAGGTGGTGGAATCTCCATCCCTAGAGGTTTTTAAGTCCTTGCTTGACAAAGTCCTGGCTGGGATGATTTATTAGGGTTGGCCCTGCTTTGGGCAGGGAGTTGGACTCAATGACCTCCCGAAGTCTCTTCCAGCTCTAGGATTCTATGAGTCTATGAATTCCACTGCCAGATCTCACAGCACATCTCCCTCCTAGAGAGGTAACATACCATCCTGGCCCACATAAACCTTGCATTTAATACAATTGACTCAAATACTACTTAAGTTTAATTCAATAAGGTTTTTCAAGGATATCAGAGGAAATTGCTGTATCTGTCATAATAGGTATTTTACAAGTGTGAGATGTACTGAACTGTGACTGCAGCGGGCTCTGGATCAGGCCCAGTGTCACAAAAGAAGTGGTATAGAATTTTTACAATTAGGGTGGACAGAATGATAGAAGACGTACTATGGCAGGGAGATGAGCTGGAGAGCATAACAGATTTTTCCATATCTAACTGTACGACAGATATACAAAACTAAGAAAGAGGATCAGAGTAATGTACAAAATTCAGCTGCTGGAATGAGGCATAGCATTAATTCACCCTTGCAATTCCAGAGGAGGAATAACAGCGGGGTCTAACTAAATCACAGAAAACTGGTAAAGAAAAATGTATAGAGGGAGAAAAGTGACAAACTATATCGATGAAACAGAACTCCACAAATCAGAACTTATAATTATGCCAAAACTGAAGACATGGGAAGGACCTCAGATTTTAACTCAGTTGTCTGTTGTGTTGAACAGTATTTCAAGACAGCATTTTGCACTCTGAAGGACTATTTTTGGATCCTTGGCTAATATTAAGACAATCAGATGTTGGAGGCTGAAACCACAGGTATCTTTTACTGTTTACTGAACCATTAACTATCACAAGTATTTATGATGTCAGTATTTATTTATAATTGTACCTCCATGTTTTCTCACATTCCCCATACTCAGTTTCTAAAATATTTTCTATTACTATTTATGAGTGTCACAGATGTGTGTGTGTGCCCCTTTATAGACACAAAGGCTTCGTCTTCACTGCGAGTTTTTTTGGCAGAAAATATGCTAATGAGGGACTCATTAGCATGAGTTTCAACCTCATTAGCATATTTTCTGCCATTTCTTTTCGCGCAAAGGGTTTTTGCACAAAAAGAAGCAGTGTGGACCTCCGGAATAAAGCCCTTTTCCTTTGATGTAGGAATAAGAGATCCTCCGGAAAAGGGCTTTATTCCAGAGGATCGCGCCAGTCTAGATGCTTTTTTTCCGGCTTTTCCCCAAGCCAGAAAAAAAGCGGCGGCCATGTTTATTTAAATCCGCGGGGGATATTTAAATCCCCCGCGGATTTCCCTATCCTGACTTACCTGATTTGCATCCCTTTTCCGGAATTTGTGGCCAGTGTAGACGTAGCCTACTTCTTCAGGAGACTGAACTTTGAAGAGGATGCACAATTCAGGTAAAAATCAGGTTTAGCTCCCTGAGATTTTTTGTTCAAGAAACTGAATCCATTTTAATACTTGTTTAGCTCTAAAAATACCTTGCTTTCTTAGTTAACAGCAGCCTGATATATTTATTCCTATGTAGGGCATAAACAGGCAGCCTGGGTGTCTTTTATACAGTTTATTCCTAGCAGCGTGTGCATACATGCACCTTTGTTCACACATTTAATTTAATTAAACTTAGGGTTTAGCTTTAAGTGGAATTTAAGCGAGTACTTTGCTAAATTGGGCCATAAATAGCAGGACTGCACGCAGGGGAAAAGCCAACCTCAATTCTTTCATACTTTAAGAGCCCAGTCCTCTGCTTCCACCTACCTCTGCTGCCAATTTAAGTGCATATGGTTTTCCTCTCTAATCTCCTTATCATGGAAGTGGGAGATCTCTTTAGCCCATCACCTATCTGCTGCATCCCAAGTCTGCTGCCAGACACAACTCCCCACTGGTGGGGTTTGCCAGAAGGCATTCTCCACCACATCAAAGTGGTAATTCTATAGTGAAGTCAGACCTTTCATTCATTCACTATGAACACACCCAACTTACGTGTAGCATACCCATCCCTTATCCTGTCTGATATTAAATTCAGCCAGATATTTTAGTAGTAGAAGTGGGGTTGTTGGTTGGGGGATGGGCTCCCTCACCTTTCATTCCCCATTTTGGGTAGAGTCAAATTATCTTAAGGGAGAAGAAGATGGTGAGTTGAATAACTCTGTCTCCACCTGAGCAACCAGCTGCCTGGATATTTAACTGGAGCGGAGATATACCTGACCTCACGTCCTGCCCTACTTGAATTTTCCTTTGTTGCCCAGTTACCCAGACTCACACATTTATGTTTGTCCAATATTCCTTCTCTGAGAAGTCTGGCTATGAACCAAGTTCATGCAATACAAAGCTTTTCCCTAGCCTTCCTAACAGCTCATACTTTTACTGAAGGATTTTCCTTCCTGTCATTGCTACCTCCTACTGGGATTCCTTCCCATGTGGCCTTCCTCACTGGCTCCTTCTCATAGCAGGCTGCTCTCCTTAAGAGCTCTGGCAAACTACTGAGACTAGACCTTTTTACTGGCCCTTTCCTGACTTGTTTCCTGACCTGGGATGTTGGGCTAAGCCTGGCACAGGGGCAGCTAAGCCCCAAACCCTTTAAAAGGCATGATCACCCGGTGACACTGCCACTAACTTTATTCCACTGAATGAGTAGCTCATGTGTCCTTCAAAACTAGTATTTTAGACGGTCTTCAAATTCAGGCAGAAACCAGCTCATGTTGTGTCTCTCAAAGGTGATTTTGTGGTCACTTCCACAGCTGCAAAATCATTTACACGAGGCCCTCCTTATAGTCTTTTCTTAATTTTATAATAGGTGGTTCAAGTCTGAGGAGTGTGAGTAAGGCCTCTTTCCTTCCTAATTCTGAACAAACCCTAATCAACAAATCCTAATCAACTTCTGCTTCATTTTAGGAGTGTGGAAAGGCACAGCATCCTTGGAGGATGCTACATAAGCTGTAGTTGGGGGAAATGCATATACAGTAAAATTCAGAGAACCTTCCCTTCACTCTCCTTCTTGCACTCAGGTAAAATCTGGGTCACTTCTAATAGGAGTGCTGGCACAATTTCTATAGAGGGGGTACTGAGAGACAGTGAACCAACTGTGAACCCAGTATATGATGGAAAACACTTTGAGCCGGGGGGCCCAGCAGCACCCCCAGCACTCCTATAATTTCTAGTTCCAGAAATCCCCATGTTGTGGCTATTAGAACTTCTTGCTTTCACCTTTCAATCTAAAGAGGCCATGTGGGTTCCTAGATATGTATCCTGAATTTTACTGGCTGTGTGTAACAAAGTGGACCAGGCTCCGAGGTCCCCTGTTGGTGGCCTTGTGGTCCTGCCATACTCTGCCTCCAGGGAGCCAACAGAAAAGTCCTCCAAGCAGGCTAGAAGAAGCAACCAATCAGGGGCCAGGAAGAAAAGAAACTGCAGGACCAGAGCCAAAGTCAATCCTTCTGAAGATCTCAAGGTGTGGCAGCCAGAGCCTGCAGACAGCTCCAAGTGGGGAGCTTATTGGAGACGAATGGCTTACGATGGGACTATAAAACCAAGCCCTGAGGTCAGGGCAAGGACGTGGGGGATGGATTCAGAAGAACACTAAGACTGATAGATGTGTACCCTGAAAGAAGTTTTGTGTGATTCCCAAGAGAGTATGTGACTCAGCCACAGGGCTGAGTTGCCGAAGAAGGTGACAAATAGAGGGAGTGCAGGCACATGCAAATGGTCAGAAAGGGGCACTCAAGAGAGTTATTGTGTCTGCATGCTTTACAGTTACTATTTGCCATGTATTATGTGAAGTAGTGCAAGCTCTATTGAAAGCTGGTCTCTCTGCCTACATCATTAATAAGGAACAGAGAGCTGCTCACAAACCACCTCCTTCTACCTACTCCCAGCCTTGAATCGGTGCTGATTGCAATCATTCTCTCTCTTCTGTTTTTAGCAATTCATGTATTCCATTGGCACAGTTCAAACCCTAGAAAGACTTTGATTTTTTTTTTTTTTTTTGCATACGCAAGAATCTGCCACATGGAGCTTTTGAAAAGACTGAATAATTCAAATTTTACCTGGGTATTTATGGAATTAAACTTTCCATGTATTCGCTTCCAAAAGGTCAAGAGAAAATTAAACAAACCAGTTTCTTTCCTCATTAAAGCTGAGGTAACCCAGGTGAAACCCAGGTGAACAAAAGGTCATGTACCTTCAGCTACTCAAGACACAAGCTGTCCAGTGGTTAACTGTCCAATGTAACCCCGCTGTTTGAAGCGCGCTGTACCTTTTATTTTTAAAAGCAATAAGAAAACTTGCGTTCTATTCCTACCTCTCTTGTGTGACCTTTGAGCAAGTCACTTTACATCTCAGAGCCTCCACCCTCTGGCTTCCCCTTGGTTTGTCCTTGCCCTGTTTACAGGTTAAGCTCTTTGCGGGGCAGAGACGCTCTCTTACTATGTGTATTTACATTGCTGAGGGCAATGTGCAATCGACACTGGGCTCCTCAGATACAACAGTAAAGCCTAATAACCACCAAATAATGGTACCAAATAATAACATTTAGACCAGATTACTAATGAGACCTGACCTTTGTTTTGCACACAGACATGCACACTCAGAATGTAGTCTGGTCAATCATAATCCTTACATTAAAATATTGTCCATGCTGGAGAGTACAGCTGAAAAAGAATGTTATGTTCTTGAGACCCACCTGTGTCATTACCAATGCAATCTATAATCAGGCATATTCCTAAAGGCTGACTCTGCATTCTGTACCGATCATCATAACCCTGAGAAAAGTGAAAGAGCAAATAATTATTTCATTTCATACCTGTGCTCCCTTCTCCAGTGCACAGACCTTCTCCTTTTTAACCCCTCCTCCTCAGAGCTCCCTCCTCCACTATTGGGATGTGAAAGGTTCAGGAGGGATTGGTACGTGGTGTTTATTTGGCTCTGCTATTATAGGGCTGTCCTTCACTCCATGCAACCTCACTATCTTTAATGGAGTTGCATAAACAATAAATAAATGCAGAGTTTGACAGATGTTTTAGGAAAACTGGGGTGAGTTTGACTGCAGAGCTGTTTACTGTAGTCAGATTTTCAATTTAAGAAAAGTCGTCTTTATCACATGGCCATTCTCAGCAACGACCCCGATGGAGAGACTATATATGCTCTGGGATTTGGACAACTTCTTACTGTCACAGCAGGAAGTAGATTAGCTGTGTGTTCTATAGGCATGCAGAAGCACAGCTGATTACAACATTTCTTTCTTCACTGACCAGTCACCTTGTGGAAAAGCTACAGGGGCTCACTCCTCAGTGATCTACTACAGTTTAGTTCACTCCAATCCCTCCCTTTTAATAAGTTTGCCACCTCTTTGCTGTATCCCTTGCTAATGATAATTCATCCAGTAATTTGCTGATAAAAATTAACAAGTAGTAAAGCACTAGTAAAGCACTAAGTTTTCCAGGCATGTAAATGGAAGGTGTCACCTCAAAAATAAGTCACAAGAGCCTAATGTGTATATGTACCTTTTTCACCTGATGTGAGCTGGCTCCCGATTCCTGTACTGATGTGTGAACTGGTTCCACTGTGGTTACAAAACACAATATAATGATTCTTAGCTTTTATGTGATATTCTAGTATATAGGTAGTGACATTTCTTTCAACATAAAATGAAATTAAAAGGTAGCCCAAGACTCCTCTCCTTCAGCCCTGTTACTTCACATCTGAGCAAATGCATACTACAAGAAACTAGCCCATGTTAGCAGTGACCAAAAATCATGGTGAGCTGGCAGATCAGAGGCCTATTATGGTTCACAAAGCATCACATGTGAAATGAGTTGGAGGTCTCAGCCTAGTTCCTGGTGGACTAAAGTGCACATGATAAACCCTACATCTTATGCCTCTAATCAGCATCCCTTTTGGCAGAGATGCCAAGAATGAAAGGGACATGGAAACACAGTTACATGCAAACACCTTGTCAGGGGTCTCATCAGAGTGGTAGCTCAGGCATCTGGCAGTACAGCAGGATGGATCTGATTTAAATCACTAGTTAGGAAGACTCAGTTTAATCATGGTTTTCTACATAAAAGTGCTTCTTGTTGATTGTCAGAACCTTAATACATATTCTTCATAACTCAGAGATAGATGTAGGTTTCATTTTTAGAAGGTACACAATATTTTTTTAAACAGTGATTTATTTTGAAAACTTTTCAGATTAGATGTACAGCTATAGCAGAAAATGAATCCTTGTTTGGTTATTTCATTTACCAAAGGTAACTGAAACAGATATTTATGAAGTCATTGGGAGGTGAACTATCTCCAATTCAACAGGGTAATCATTAATATTTGGAGGATATGCTTGCCATGAGTATTAGGAGCACATCACAAGACAGGCATTGTTTTGTTTAACTAAAACAATAACATTATGTGTTCTGAATATTTTTCCTCATCAGAAAACATAATATTTTAACAAAACAAGCATATGACTTTCTGAATTTAGTTAAACATTCAAGTTTTTAAAAATTAGGGTCTTTTTCTAAACTAAAATAGTTAAATAAAATATTTTTAAACAAAAATTAAATTGACTGTCAGCCAGGTCAGCATATGAAATTTAAAATATTCATTGAACTTTTTGAAACTCTGCACTTTTAGAGAGGTGAGGGATTGACTCTACACAAATGTGAAGCGGGACAAAAGGGTTGAGGTCTGTTATTTCTCACCTCTCTATTATTGATTTAAAAACATTTTTGGTGTTAACAAGCATGTTAGCTCTGGTGACATAAATCCACAGTTTGAGAACTATGAAACTAAGCATTTCTGATGGTATCTTCTAGACTGAGCACTGAGTCCTACTGGGTAGAGAAAAAAATTAACCTAAATAATATATGCAGAAGCCTCTGGAACCCCATAAAATTGGGTCCCTAATCTATGAACTATTGGAATTTACAAAACTTTTCTTAAACATTATATGAGTTAGAATTAGAATTTATAATCTTTGTTCCATGATGAGATCTCTTTGAGTTATGATATATCTTAATTAAACCTATATTTATATAGGTTTTTTTCCTCAAAAAGTATTTGATCAAAAAATAAAAATGTGTTGTCCTCCCTCCCTTAAAAGTCATTGATTTTTATCCACCCTGCAATACAGGCATGCCTACACTGCTGTTGGCCATATTATTCCAGTTTGATGGATAACAAGATGATATTGGTTTTCAGGGCTTCAATTAAGCACCTTTCACAAGCAATACACTAGCCAAGATAGTAACACACTGCAGACTTTAAGGTCACTTTGCTTTCTTGGGCCAGCTCAGATGGATATAGGGAATCTAGAAGTGGGGAAATAAGTTAGTCATAGTTACATCTTGTTTTACAATGGTTAACCCTGTTTAAAAAAGGCTAATTATGTCCATCTCTCATCTTTAATTGGTTGAGCAGGCTTTGTTTTTTTTCTAACCTGGCTTTCTTATGAGAAATGTGTTTTGGAGCAGTTCTTGTATCTTAGAAGTATCCTACTAGTTTATAAATACTACAAATTACAGGGAAAGAAACGAAATAAGACAGAAACCAGCAATGATTTCTTCATTTATGCTACATGAAAATATACAGATACAATTGCCTGAAAATCCAATTTAATCTAATTTGTTCTGCTTCTTCAATAAAAAGCAAAAGTAAGATTCTCTCCACACTCATGTCTCTTCCTCTCTCTTTCCACATAAAGAGACCTCTTAATTAAATGACTCGAGAATGTGATAGAATGATATGCTGCTTTCCCATAGTAGCGAGCCTGAAAACAGACTTTTAATTTTCATCAAAACTAACCCTTTGCCCAAGAAGAATCGCTCACAGGCACAACTAATTATGTGAATTTTAACATATGCCACCAGCAGGGGTGTTAGATAACATATAATCGAATAATTATGTAACTGCACCAGATATTTTTGGTTACACAATTATTCAATAGTTCCTGGGGGCAGGTTCCTACTTCCAGGGAGACCCCTGCCACCCTGCATTGCTGCTCCACGCATAGACTGGCTCCTACCTGAGCTGAGCTCCCCACGGACAGAGGCTGCACCGGCATCCCAGGGAGCTGCCTCTGACTGTGGCAAGCTTGGGCCCATTGCAGACAGAGGCTGCTCCATGGCAGCCTCCCATTCCTCATCCACACAGTGTTGCTGCCTCTGAGGCAGCAGCATAGGGGAGGGGAGACAAGCAGCTGCATGGGACCCAGTATGTGCAGGCAGCCAGTTTGAAAGCCAGCTTCCTGTGTGTACTGGCTCCTTCCTGCACCTTCCCCTTCACGCTGCTGCCTCTGTATCAGAGGCAGCTGAGAGGGGATGGTGGGGGGATGGAGGTGGCACCATAGGATCTGGTGCTTGCGTGGAGCTGGCTTAAAAGCCAGCTCCTACCTCCCGCCCTTGCTGCCTCTGATACAGAGGCAGCAAGGGGGAGGGTGTTGCATATAGTCAATAGGATTAACCGATAAGCCCAGGCTTTTTGGTTAATCATGTACTTGACTACATGCTGACATCCCTAGTAACATTTATGGACAATGTAATCCAGGCAATTAACAGCAAAAAGTAAACTTGATCTCATTCCTTTCCTTTCCCTGGGTAGTTCGCAACTTTTTTCCTATACGAATATTTCCTCAGATCTTTCTGTCCTCAGCTGGATTCAGTGTTTGTACTGAATTGCATCCTCCCTCTAACTATGTGACACATCTAGTTATGTGGGCAATGCTCAGATCTACAGGCTTTATACCACATACTATTTTCAGGTGACATCTCCCACATTGGTGTATTGATGATATCTGAAGGAGACTAATTCTATTACAGTAAAGTGTCATTTTTACTTCCTTAAATTCCACTTCACTAATTTTGATAGATTGTCACCCAAATGCTTTAAAGAATGTTTAAAATGCAGGATATTGGAAAACTGAATAAATGAGTAAATATTAAAAAAAAAAAGTGCTCATCCTGAGTGCTCACAAGCTTCAGCTGAATCAACTGGAGTGGCAGGTCATCAATGCCACAGAAAGCTAGTCCCTTAAGTTTACAAGGAAATACACAATAGGTACTACTATTGACGGGAAATTTTTCCCCTTTCCCTTCTTATTCTGAGGAACCCCTCCCCCATTTTCCCACACTCAAGATCATCTCATCTGAAGAAATGAATTTTGCCCACACAAACTCATGATCTAATACATCTATTTTTGTTAGTCTCTTAGGTGCCACAGGACTACTCGTTTTTTGTTTTAAGTTGTTTTTCGTAGATCTTTCTGATAATGAAAGAACAGGCAGGGTGTTCTTACTCTGAACGGCAAGTTGTCCATTTAATGATCTTTCTCTGGGCATGCTCTGCATCTAAAAATTAAAAATAAGACATATTTTCTCTCTTTTCCCAGAAATGTACAATCACATATTGTTAAATATCACATAATAGGTTTCTCAAAAAGAGAAGATTATACATAGTTAATATCTCTATCAACTAAAAAACAGCAACATTTCCCCTATCGGGTACAAATGTTGATCAAAGGTTCACTCAAAACAAAGCTAACTCCACAGAGAGGTGGAAAACAGATACTGAGGTGTTTTCCATGAAACAGCCAGTTAAGCTGAACTGAACAGAATGCTGTATCTATACTACAGTGACTTTGAAAACTAGTTTTGTGTATTTCCTAAACTGGTTGAAATTGTGTTGGTGGGTACACTATGCACATCGATGTGTATTATATTTATACATTTATGTTTACAGAACAGACAACATTGAAGAAAATTCTCTCTGAGAACAGGTCTATATTTAGAAAGCTGTTATCATGACATCAATGTCAGACAACATATTCAAGACTCAGGCACAAATCTAGAGCAAATTACATAAGACATGAACAAACTAATAATAGTAAATGGACTTGTATTCAGTCAAGATCATTGATCAAATCAGAGAATTTATGGGAAATCTAAGGAAAGTTATCTTTCCCAAAAACATAAACCAAAACCTTCAGGTTCTAACAGTTAGTTTGGGAAAGTAATTTACCTTAGCTTTTCCATGATAAGGTCTTGAGGCCTTCAACTCCTAGTAACTCCAGGAAAATAAAACCTCCTAATAGCTTCAGCAGAAGTGAGTCACAAGTGCAAGATCAGGCCCCCAAAAAGCAGCAGAAACTAGACAAATAGATCTAGCAATGCATTACATTTTAGTTATTAGCAATAATGACAATTAGTTTTCTCTATTCTCCAGCTTCTTGGAAAGGCAATTCCTTTTTTACTCCTGACAGCTTTTTCAGACAAACCATGAATTTGGCTGATCTGTTGTATACTTACCCCTGAACTGTAGGGTGGGTCAATGAGAGTCAAGTTAGGGAGAGAAGCCTGAAGTGCATTTATATACATTGGCTGAGAACCACTGATGGACAGAGCTGAAAATTGAACAGAAATATGATGCAGAGACGATATTAGATATGGTTACTAAAGCACAGCCTTTTCCCCAAACTGAGTATGGGTGTGTACTATGCCCAGTACAGGCAGTCCCCGGGTTACGTGGATCCGACTTATGTCGGATCCCTACATACGAACGGGGCTTTCTCGCAACAGCTCCAATTGGGGGAGGGGGAGAATGGCAAGGCTGGAGTGCCCAAGTGGACTCCCTGCTGCAGGAAAAGGGAGGGAGGAAGGGGAAGCTAAGTTCCAGCAGCAGACCACCTGGAAAGTGGCCAAGGACCACTAGTAGTCCAAGGACCACAGTTTGAGAACCACTGCTACAGGCTATCGTACTGCAAAGGCACTATTCAAAGCAGTCATCAAGGAGTACTTGACTCACAATGGACCTTGGGAGATGGCAAATCACATTTGATTCACCTTCTTGGGAAGGTTCAAACTAGCATGTGGGCAATGGCTTCCACCTGTAAATGCATGAATATGTAGTTTGCCCATGTGACTGGACATCATGTTGTGGGCTGTGATTTTCCACAGGGAGAACAAAGGATCTCTCTGCCCTGGGCAGAAACCATAAAAGGCCCTGCACACATCTCCATCTTTCCTGCTGCAGTCTCCTGACCATGGACTTACACTAATGGGAATGTTCTAACAAAGGGGCCGAGGTCCCTCCAGTGATTTGGAAATGATCAGAGACTTGACTGAAATCAGCAGTTTATACCATCACTGATACATGCCTGAACCAAGGGCTTTGCAATTTCTTTATTTCTGTTAATAAACTTAACAAGCCTTTAGATTTTAGATACTAAAGGATTGGAAACAGTGTGATTTATGGGAAAGATCTAAGTTGTATACTGGGTGTGTGGCTGATCCTTTAGGATCAGAACCTTTTACTTAATGAGACTGGGTGTTTAGAACAAGTCACCTCTGAACCCAGTGTTTTTGGTGGTGATTCAAGGACTGGAATACCTCAGGAAACTGCTTTTTAATTTCTTGTTAACGACTGTGGTAAAATAGAAGTTCCTTTTTTGGCTGGTTTGGTGTACCTTAGAAGTGAAGGACTGCCAGGCTTGGGCTATGACTGCCCTTTTTCTCAGCAGCTGTCCTGAATTTGACCTTGCCAGTTGTGACCCATGAAGACACCATCTTATTGGCATAGTATCTATGTATTGCAAAGCTCTTCAAAATCCTAGCATGTATTCCAATATGCAGCACATGAAGAGCAAAGTTATACCCTCCCCTCTGAATGTCCTTAGTGTTGTGATATCTAAGCACTTTTTAAAATGGTAGTTTAAGATGTAATCCAATGGCTTCATCACCAACCATGTTCAATTCTTAGGAGAACTGAATGGTCCCTATTCAGTATTGGAGGTGCAAAACATGTCTTACCTTCATGTTTGTACTTCTGGATCTTCTTTTTCAGATCTATCCTGTGGATGTTCTGCAAACAGTCTTCTATCAAATCCAGCTGATTAGGAGCCACCAGATTTAGCTTCTCTAGCTCACTGACAACACCCAGGAAACTCTAGGAGAGCAGCAGAAAGCATTACAAACTACAAGGCCGGTAATTTGTTCCCTACCAGAAACTCTGGGGAGAACAAGTCTACCCACAGTAGCCCAACAAAACAACACAGGACAGAATGCAGGCTTCCTTTTAACTCTTCAGAGACAATGAACACAAGTCTTTCTAAGAATTCACATAGCTGCTAGTCCGGAAGGTGCAAGGTTTCTTGGTATCATGCTACTTCATTAGCTGGATTCTAGACTGTGATGCTCTTGCAAACATCATTTTTTTGAGGAAGGAGATTTCATTTCCTCTCTACTGCTCAGTCAGCCAGGCAGACCCTTGCCTCTCATGCCACAGAACATAAAAGGCATACGGAATTTATATTTTTCCACTCACCCTTCTGCTAGAAAAACCTCAGTGATAAAAAACAAATTCCTTAAACTTGTGCTCTGTCAGTATAGATTAATTATCTCCCAATTATTGCATCCCTCTGAGTGAGATCACACAGACACACACACTCAGGATTCAAATGGAAGAAGAGCTGCATTGGTAAAATAAAGCAATTTGCCCCCTAGTTCACATATTACACAAAGGAATGTTATCCCCATAAACATGGTTACATTCAATATTTTTCTCTGTTTGGGAGGGGTTGGACCCCCACATGCTTTCAAATGGCAGAACATTAAAGGGGAGAGGCTTTATTTCTGCATTTCTTCCAGCTACTAGTCCCACTAAGTGTAACGCTCTTCATATTTCCCTCTCATCATCTCTCTAGACCTGTGGTGTCCAATACACTAGCCACATGTGGCTATTTGGCCAGTTGAGTGTGGCTAGTCGGCTTGAACAATAAGAACTCAAAACTTGTTGCATTCAAAACATTTTAAATAAAAAAACCCAACAATTTTCAGAGAATAAAAAAAAGTTCAGACTCCTTCTGAGTTCTAAAGCCACTTTCCATTAACTTGATGCATCTGCTGGATGGAGACTTCCGCCAGTTCACGGAATAGTTTAAATATGCCGCTTAGGCTGGAAATCATCACGCATCATTGTAAGCTGAGGCTTGGTATATCCGGATACTAGTTTTCCACTGGCATTTATTGTCAAAGCCTTTTTGAAAGTTCTTCTGAGTTCTGTGTGAAATTATTTGTTCTTATGTGAAGCAGCTCAGTTTTCAAGCTAGCTCATTTTCTCCTGGCATTCATTTCAACCTTCAATTTAAATGCAGGTTCCTCATGGGCACACAATTAGGTTCACATTATAGAATCATAGAGCTGGAAGAGACCTCAGGAGGTCATCAAGTCCAGCCCCCTGCCCAAAGCAGGACCAATCCCAACGGCCAAAAATGTTCAATAAATAAAAAAAACAATCAAACTTCTGAGAAGAAATTTTTATATACACCACTGTGTACATAAAAAATGTGTTTTTTTTTTGGTAACTTATGGTCATTCTAAGCAACAAAATCAAGCATACAAGCTCACATTTGAAGAAATCTGTTTGAATTTTATTCCTGTTTTTTAAATTAAAAAAAAAAATCATTTAACAAGTTTAACGCTTTCAGAGATACTGAACTTTTAAAATGAGGGTACTTTTTTGGCCTCCCCAACAATATTGCTTATTTCTGCTTTATGATGAAATGGAACAATATTAATTCATTTTTCTAGAACTGCATCCATAGATCAGTTCATTATTAGAAAGCGTAATTCCGAAGCAGGTGAAAGTACTAGTACCAAGTCAAACGATAGAAACAACAAATCATCGGCAAAAACTGCAAAGAAAAAAGAGATTGGAAGGACATCAAACGTAAATTTCAAGAGAAATGGGGATTGGAATATGCCGTCATTGAGGTGAATGGAAAGCCAACGTGCTTGCCGTGTCATACATAGATTTTGGTAAATAAGACTAACAACCTAAGAAGGCATTTCCAAAGGCAGCATAATCAGGCCAGGCCAGGCCAAAGAACGGGCGGGACCCAAGGCAGCATGCTGAGCCGCACGGCCGCGCAGCTCCCAGCCGGGTGAGCGGGGCCTGAAGGCAACTGCCTCGCTCGCCATGCCCAAAGGCCGGGCCTGAGCATACTGATTTCGATCCAGTGAATCCTATTAAAAGAAACTAGGGGATGGTGCCCCCAGCTCGCTACACGGCTCTCCCTCCGGCCACCAGGGAGGGCCAGGCCAAGGTGTGGCAGCCCTGGCCTGCCCCAGGTCTCTCCCCTCCCTCAGGCTGCTGGGAGGTTGGGCCAAACCGAGGCTGGCCTGGCTCCCTTGCTCCAGCCACCTGGGTGAGGGCTGGCGTGGACCAAGGTCGCAGCTTGCCTGGCCCTCTCCCTCTCCGGGGACTGAGCCAGACCGAGACCACAGCTGGCCCAGCCTTCTCCTTCAGGCAGGGAGGGAAAAGGGACCGCGGCACCCTGGCCCTCCCCCCACGCCTGCAAGAGGCAAGGCTGTGTGCTTCCCACGCATCCTCCTCCACCCCAGACCACCAAAGACACCACGTGTGACCTGCGTGCCCCCCTCTCCTAGCCAAAGCCCTGCAAGGCTCTGCAGCTCCTGCATGCCCCCCTCCGCCCTTCATCCGAGCTACCGAGAGGTCATGCAACTCCCATACACCACTGTCCCCACCCAAGCCCTGGCGCCACCCCTGGGACAGCGGAGGAGCCACGCAGCTCAATTTAAACTCGACAGCTGCCCGCCCACGTGGGTCAAGGCTGGCGGTGTGGAGCCTGTGGTGGAGGGCAGAGTGCCGATGCAGGGGAGGGGTAGGGCCAGGGCCAGACTAGGAGGCACCCCACCCCCTGTGCCAGGGCTGGATGTCCCTCAGGCAGCTGCCAGAGCAACATCCAGCCCTGGTTCAGGGGCCAGGGCGACCCCCACTCCAGCCCTCCCCACCCCGGCACGGGCCTTTCCCCCCGCCGCTGGCGGAAATTGTAACTCTGGGCAGCCTGCCATGTGTCCGCTGCCAGAGGCACATCCAGCCCTGGTCCCAGCTCAGGGGCCTGGGTGCCTCCCAGCCTGGTTCAGGGCCAAAGTGTCTCCCAGTCTGGTGTCCCCCACACCAGGCCTCTCCAGCAACCCCATAGCTCCCATGACGGGCCTCGCCACTGCCCCCCAGATCTGCCACTGGAGCTTTTTTAGCCCCATCTTTAAAGTGAAATATCTTGTGTATTGTCCTAGGTGTAGGTGTTGTTATATTGTCTGTGCTACCTATCCCATTTATTGGAATGGATTTATGTAAGTCTGGATTGCTTTCTTTTACTTTTCTGTATATAATCAAGTTAGAGATATAGTTTATCCTTGGTGTTTATTGCCTCCTTTTGTATCTAATATCCCGGACACATGACACCACCACAGATACTCTGAAAGATGTGATGGATACTGTGATCAAAATCGTGAATTTCATTCACATCAGTGCTCTGAAGCTTCGCCAATTTGTGGAATTTTTGAAAGAAATCGAATCTGAGCATTCTGAAATTATCTGTTTTGCCAACGTGAGATGGCTGAGTCCTGGAAAGGTGCTTGAGCGGTTCCACGCACTCCTTACTCCAATCAGAGTCTTTCGTGTCAAAAAAGCAAAGCTGGACAGTTTTTCTGCTATTGAAAATAAGCAGTGGCAATTTGATTTGTGGTTCCTGGCGGATATCAGCTGTTATTTGAATGTACTCAATCTGAAACTTTCATGGAAAGGGGAAGCTGATTTGTGATATGGCCCACCACATTGGGGAGTTCACTTCTAAGCTACAGCTAACCATCATTCAAATGAATGCAGGAAAATTCACCCACTTCTCAAATCTGCAAAAAATTACAGGAGATAGTGATTTTGAGTGTGATTACCTTGATTGTCAGAGTTATGTGAGATGGCTTTAAAACCTGGGAATGAAATTCAGCCAGCATTTTGCAGATTTTGAAAACTTCATGTTGGCATTTCAATTAATGAAAAACCCATTTCAGTTCAACACTGCTAATTCTCAAGACCTTGTCAATTTGCATGGCCTGGATAAAAGTTAGTTGGAAGAAGATACGCTCACACTTCAAAGCCAGTTCTATCAGTCAAAATATGAATCGGATTTGACAATATGGGATACGACAGAATCAGTTTGCTATTTTGAAAACTGCAGCTGCCAACCTTTTTTCCATGTTGGTTCAACATGACTTTGTGAAGCATCATTTCTGTCATAACATACATCAAGTTGAAGTACTGGTCATAGTTACGAGATGAAAATATAGAGGCCGAGTTGAGGCATACTGTCAGTGAAAAGTTTTTGCCTGATTTCAGAGGTTTAGCAGTGAAACAAAATTATTGTGTCCCATTGATTGAATTTCTGTGAAATGTGATGATTTCTGTTGATTAAGATCAATCTTGAAGCATTCTGTTGACATTAAAAATCAAGAACTGGTATATTCGGAGAGTCTCACAAAATTATTTACATTTTCAGAATAATGTGGCTAATTCACTTCAGAACTGGTTGGAAACCACCGCTCCAGATCTTCATCCTGTTACATTCTATTTGGCTTTAATGCATCATCTTCCCTCCCATATTTCCTTATTTCTGTTTCACTTGCCTACTGCTCCTATGCATCTCTTTTCTTCTCCCTTAGTGTTTCACGTTATTTTGTTAAATTCTTTTATTTCTCATACTCTAAACCATAGGTTCCCAAACTGAGAGGAGAGGGAGGGTGTGCCCCCCTGGGGGGCATGAAGAAATTCCAAGGATTCCAGGGGGGGCATGAGGCGACCCAGCCCCTCCCATCTAGCCCTTCCCCCTCCCTCAAGTTTTTGCTGCTATTTTTGTTTTTCAGCCCAAGCCAGTTCCTTTTTTTCCTCAACAAGTATTGCTGCTATGTGTGGGGGTGGGGGGGAGGGGGGGGAGAGGGGCATGAGGGTTTCTCAAAAATCAAAAAGGGGGCGTGATGCTGAAAAGTGTGGGAACCACTGTTCTAAACTCTTCCATTTTGTAGCACAAAAATAAACTCAAAATGGAAACAAAAAATAGGTATTACCTTGTCTTTTGTCATTTTCATGCGTGGCACATAATCCTTGAGCAGGAAAAGGAGAGAACTCACTTCTTGTTTATCCAACTCTTCATTAATCTCTACCATCAGCACCCTGCAAGAAAGATCAGCCATTTCCAAGGGAACAGCTTTCAGTAATATCCCAGTCCTACCCAAATGTCCCATGACACAAGAACAATCTATCCAGCTCCTCAATTTCATTAAATAATCCATTCCTGGCCAACAATACATGTACCTCTCCAGTCTCCCAGCCCATAGGGAGAAGGGTCCAATGGCAATCAAGGGAAGTGGGTTTATATTCTTGGCTCTGCCTTTGTCTTGACGTGGGATCAGATTAAGCTACAAACCACAAAGTCATAACATTGTGTTAAGATTACATGACTTCTGCCTGTTTCAGGGGACTAAGGAAAAGCAAGATAGGGATCAGGCAGATGTTTTCCCAACATGTGTCACAATTTCCAATTGACTCAATTCCCATAGTCCTTCCTAGTCTTTCAGAATTGTTCCTGTAAAAGTCACTGTATAAACTCTAACAGCACTCTGTAATGGGGTAAGATCAGCTCTAGGCTCACACAGCACTGCCCAGACCAGTTTAGCCTGTAGAAACTTGAGCCAAGACTTGAGAAATGGGAGCAGACCAGTACAGTAGGAGTCTGTAAAAGGGAGCACGGGGCTGCTCTGAGCTCTGAAGGGAAAATGCTACTACCCAGGAGCTCATTGCCTGGGACCTGGCAACGCAGGCTCAGGTAAAAACCGGAGGAGAGGCAGACAACTGGGACTGCAGGCCAGAGACTTGCTTAGAGTGAGTTATTCTAGGAAAACACTTGGGCAGAAACTTCTGAGGGAAGGGATTAGATGGAGACCCCATCAACCAGAAGGCCTGGAATGCATAGTCCTAGGGGTTCCTGAACAATTTTAAGTACGGTTGTGGTCTGAAGCATCACGGAAATGTTGGTCTCTGCCTCTTTGGAGACTGGATCTGGCACTCTTTAACATAATGTAATTGATGCAGGTCTGAGGGAACGGTTGAACTTACATAATGCAGCATCATGGTGGCTGCGAGTGATACAGTAAGAATTAAACCAGGTTAAAGTATCCCAAAATGAAAATGTGGGCAAAAAGCCTGGCTGGACACCTTCATTCAGAATGAATGACAGTCACTGCGGGAGAGTAAGTCACTGCTGGGGGGTAATAAGGTTCCTCTTAGCACATACCATAGCCAAAGTGGGGGTATATGGTATATAAGGAGAACGCACTGTTAGCAAAAGCACTGTTTTAGTAATCAAACCAGCTGGGCTTTCAGTATTTCCTCTTCAACAATGGTCACACCAGACCCACAAGAGCTGAAGCCACACAAGGGCTATGTCTACACTATGGTTTTCTGCCAGAAGAGGCAATGCAAATGAAGCGCTGATTAGCATATCGTTGCACTTCATTTGCATAATCTTCTCCAATGCCTTTTGCGCAAGAGGTTTTTGTGTAAAAACAGGCAGTGTGGACGTGTCCATTTTGCGCAAAAATCCCTTTTTGCATAAGATTCTTATCCCTCTCCATACTGCCTATTTTTGCGCAAAAGCCTCTTGTGCAAAAACAGGCACTGTGGAAAGGGATAAAGATCCTGTGCAAAAAGGGGGTTTTGTGCAAGACGGACATGTCCACACTCCCCATTTTTGCACAAAAGGCATCTGAGGAGATTATGCAAATGAAGCGTGACAATATGCTAATCTGCACTTCGTTTGCATTGCCTCTTCTGGCAGAAAACCATAGTGTAGACAAAGCCACTGTGAATAGCAAGACAAACTTCCAGACAGAGGCAAGTGTTTATCTGGGGAAGTCTCCCAGGAAAGAGGAGGAAGACCCTTCACTGAGAACATATAAAACTAGACAAGACAACGCACAAGGAGATACAATATGGGAACAATCCTTCACTGTAGGTTAATATGATCTTGGTTTGAATGAGCAGACAGTAACAAATGGGGTCACTAAATATTGTAATGCTGCAGAGGTTTCTTCTATCTGTCCATTCCCTCTGCTCTTCCCTCTAGCTATATAAGTTACATAAGCACCTATTGTTTAATGTATATAGTCCCCCTTTGTTAAATATGAAGCCAGACCCTTTTTAACAACACTACTTCTAAGAAACTATTATGCTGCATATAGGAACCAAACTTTGGAGTGTTATCTTTATCATACTGCTGTGTGATCCTCTTTTCTGCTATCATTTTACTCATCATTTTGTATTAATAACAAAAACAAAAGTTACCCTGGAAAAATGAAATAAATTACCTGTAATCAGAGACCACTCTAGGATACCTGGCCAGATCTGTCTCCACTGATGTTTTCTCTGTCCCCAAGGCCCTCCGCAGCAAGTCAAACCTCCTCACTCTGTATAACAGCTCAGATAAACCCAGCTTTCCCTTTTCATTCAGTGCCCCAAAGAGCACCCTGATATCTGCATTCGATAAATCAGGAACAAGATCCCGGCACAGGAAAATAATCATCTCCTTTTCATCTTCGTCCAATTCCTGCTCGATCTGGTGAATGAGGGCAGCTGGCACTTGGCACTGTGTCATCACAAACTGTTCTCTCAGTTCATCTGCCCTTTTTTGGTGTTTTAAGCCGGAAGCCAACATGTCATGGAGTCCATTTGCAACATAACATCTGGTTGGTTGTTGATCTTTAATCAGAAATTTTAAATAGAGCAATTCTGTTGAAGAAAAATTACAGGCCTTGCTTGAACTGATGGTTTACTGAACAATCTTTCAAATCATCCAAGTTTCTGCTGCACTTCAATCTTTGAGGCATTCAAGTAATGGTCAAAATGCTGAGCCCACTTTAAAAGGTGCAATGTTCTTGAAGGGGTTCTCCGAGCTGTTCATTATGAATTTTAAAAAAAGTACATGACAAATTATAAGTAAAGCACTAATAATTACGCAAGTCTGTAAGTTCCAAAGGAAGTGAAACAGAAACAACCCACAAATGAGAACAGTGCGTATTCAAGTCGTTTTAGAACCTGAAGAGTTAAGAGTCATAACATTAAAAAAATCTAAATCCAATCATTCTTATAAAAGAACAAGAAAAAAGCCTCTTTGCCCTTTTTTTGCAAAAGTTTAACAGCCAAGAGGTGTAGTGAAGCCCCTTGTTACTAAGACAGTACAGGCAGTCCCCGGGTTACGTACAAGATAGGGACTGAAGGTTTGTTCTTAAGTTGAATTTGTATGTAAGTCGGAACTGGTACATATTGTAGGGGAAACTCTAGCCAAACATTTCTCCAGAGCTCAGTTTTATTCTCCCACACCTCACTTCCCTCAGGCCTTTATTCTCAAGCTGAGGTGTCTGCTGAGAAAAGCCGCTCCGAGTCTCCCTGGTCTGCTGGGGGGAAGCAGCTAGTGTGGGGTTGCCTCACCCCGTTTGTAAGTAGGGATCCGATGTAAGTCGGATCCGTGTAACCCGGGGACTGCCTGTACTGGTTACTAAGCAGTACCTTTAAGAAATCTAGCACACATTAACTAGTGTAAATACATGAAACCTGAAGTGCACTTCTCAAAATAAATGTGCCAAGTACATTTCTGATGTACTATCCTGGCTTATCACCACCACTTGCTGGCCAGTTCATGAAATGCAGTAATCCATGATAGATTCTTTAGTTGTTAGTGCCAATGGCAGAGGGGGAGGAGGGGAGGAGGAATCCACTGTAAATGAGTTTAAAAAAAAATGGTTTGCTTTTTACTTTAAAAGAAGTCCAACACAAACATAAAATAAATATTTGAAGATGCAGATGAGTCTTGTGCTGCATTTTTAATAGCACATATTTCATTTTTTCTTTCACATGCTTATATCTCATTTTAAAAAGATGTCCTAATATTTAGACTGCAAGACTAGCACTGTGATCAAGGAACTCGACACAGTCTCTGGAGATCAGTGTTCCCCCTTCTTGTTCCTGCCACAGTTTTGGACAACTGACTTGATCATTTATTGTCTCAGTTTCCCTATAAAATGGGGTAATGAGTCTTATCCGCAAGAACACAGTGAAAATAAACACATTTACTGTTTGTGCAGTGCTCCGTTACTATGTATGTACATAGGTAGATAGCTATTTTCAAACATATCTTTCTCTGATGTGAAATCAGTGAAATCTTAGGTTGCTAAGTCATTTAATTACTTTTGAGAATTTTATCTATGTTGTTAAAAGCTGCTTTTGGGCTTTTCTGCCCTTTGCCAGATTTTGGAAGTCATGGCTCTACAAATGGCAAATAGATAATACAGTAAAACTCCAATGGTCCAGCATCTGATGGTCTGGCACTCCGCACCATCAGGAACCCGGAAGTGCTCCGGACAGCCGGACCATTGGAGCTTCTCTGCCCCCAGCTTCCCCGATTCAGCCACTGTTAAAACTGACCAGCGGCTGAATTGGAGAAGCCGGGGGCAGAACAGCTGGAGTGCTGCCAGGTAGGTCCCGTAGCGCTGTCCCGTAGCGGCAGCACCCCAGCTGTCCCCGATTCAGCCGCTGCTGAAATTGACCAGCAGCTGACTCCAGGAAGCCCGAGGCAGAGCTGCTCGGCCCCAGCTTCCTGGAATCAGCCGCTGATCAGTTTCAATAGCAGCTTCTTGCACAAGAAATATGCAAATGAGGCTAAGCATGGAATATCGCCGCACCTCATTTGCATACCTAATGAGCTGCCATTGTTGCAGAAGAGGCTCTTGCGCCAGAAGGATCTGTCTACACTGCCCCTTCTTGCGCAAGAAAAACCCTCTTGCCCAATGCCGTTATTCCTGAAAATAATCAGTGTCACAGCATTGCGCAACAGGGTTTTTCTTGCGCAAGAAGGGGCAGTGTAGACAGATCATTCTGGAGCAAGAGCCTCTTCTGCAAAATTGGCAGCTCATTAGGTATGCAAATGAGGTGCGGCGATATTCCACACAGCCTAATTTGCATATTTACTGCGCAAGAAACCGCAAGTGTAGACATAGCCCGGGGGGTTCAGCCTCCCCCGCACTCACTGGCAGCAGTAGGCGAAGTGGAGCAAGGTGAACCCCGCTCGCTCAGCTTTCCTAGTGCATTGCTCCAGGGAAGGGAGAAGGACAGCTCCTGCACTCCCTGGTGGCAAGCGGAGCAACACATCTGGGTTAGCAAAGCATCTGGGGCTACCTTGCTCTGCTTACCCCATTGCTGCTGGTGAGGGGGGGAGCGGAGGTGGACTCCCCACTGCCAAAACCGTGGTACCTCTAGTCCAGTGGTCTCCAACCTTTTTACACCCAAGATCACTTTTTAAATCTCAGAACAGGCGAAGATCTACCGCCCCGCCCCTTCCTTGAAGCCCCGCCCTCCCTATTCTCCTCCTGTCCATCACTTGCTATCCCCGGCCCTTACTTACACACTCTGATAAACAGTTTATTTTTAAATTATGCGATACATACAATTAAAATCACGTGTTTATAGTTATGAAATAAATGGTCTGGTTTTTATTCATGCTAGTTAAATCTAAAATGAAGCATTTATAATTATACATTTTGTGGGGACAGAGTTCTGCGGCTTCCTCCTGTCCATCACTTGCTATCCCCGGCCCTTACTTACACACTCTGATAAACAGTTTATTTTTAAATTATGCGATACATACAATTAAAATCACGTGTTTATAGTTATGAAATAAATGGTCTGGTTTTTATTCATGCTAGTTAAATCTAAAATGAAGCATTTATAATTATACATTTTGTGGGGACAGAGTTCTGCGGCTAGGGGCAGGGGAGAGGGAACAGGGTGCTGGGAGGGCAGTGGGCAGGGTTCTGCAGCTGGTGTCCCAACAGGATGGGAATCAAAGGAACCACGACCGCCTGCCTGGTACTGTAGGAAGCAGACAGGTGAAGTGTAAGTGAACAAGGCTTAATTATTGTATTATAATATTTAATGAATTGCTTTTGCATTGCTTTGCACTGTATTCATTCCTTTAGAATTTATAGTGTTTACAGTTTCATTTGTGTAGTTATTGTTTTTAAGGTTTGTAAAATTTAAGCAACTATGTTAACTACTTAGACTTAGTCATTTATTGCAAGCTTTTTCTGGAAAACCCTGCTTTCCCTTGGATCTAAAAATCGAATCACTTGACAAAGGCAAACAATTAAGAGAATCTCACCTTTCACTTAAAAAAAAAGCAGCTATGTTTCCAGTAAACGTGGAAATGGTTAACGATAACCCTGGGCTGCCTCTGGGTGAGGATGGATGGGGAAGGCAACTCGGTGCCCACCTGTATAGAAAATGCTTCTGTGAACTCTGTAGGTGTGCACCAGCTGCTCTACACCTGAGGGTCAGACCTCTGCACATTGGTTCCCTGCAATCCAGCCTAGTGCCCTTCCTATGAGGCCATTCTCTCCTGCTCAGCTGCTTCAATGTTCCCAGAATGCGCTGGCACATCTCAGGTTGCATGGTGGGCGTGGCCATCCAAATGTGGTCACATGACTAGTGACATCATTGAACCAGGTCAGTTATAACTAGCTCTGAAGAGAGCACCGTGACTTGGCTGTTTGTTACTGCCCCTTGGGGGAGGGGGGAGGAAGAGGCAGGATGGGGAGAGATGGGATGGGGGCAAAGCACAGACAGGGAGGGACAGAGCCTGCAGAAGAAAGGAGCTGTCCCAGCCTTTCCCTGAGCTGAGGGAGTAGTGGCCCCCGGGTCTCCCCTCACCAGTCACCTCTGCTATAGAGCCAATCTGGGGAAACAGCAATAGGAAACAGGAGGAGAAAAAAAAAACTAGCCTAGACCAAGATCTAGATTAAGGATGTAAGAAAGGTTATAAAAAAGTAACTAACTGTGTAACTGTTAAAAACCCTAGAAATTACACCCTAAACCACTTCTGGCTGGAAGGGGGATCTCCGCAGCTCCCAGGCAGCCATCTGCCGCCCTTCGTGGCACGCTGATACTGCAGAACCTGCAGCGCAGGGTGGCAGCCAGCTTCCTAAGTGCAGGGCAGGCAGCTCGCCCGAGCATGCTGAGAGCCAGCTTACATGCACCAGCTGCCAGCCCCACACCCACAGACCCAGCTGTGCTGCGGGTTCTGCAATACAAAGCACACCGTCAGAAGAGTTTAACCGTAGACAGAAACAGCAATGTAATGCTCATCGGTTAAATGGTTCAACTCTTACATCCCAAATCCAGATACAACAAAGCTAACAGCTCAATTTTGAAGTGTAGGTGAATTATAATTATTTATCAAGTTCCCAGCCCCCAACAAAGCTGTAGGTTCCAGGTGTGCTGAACACTGAACTTCAACTGAAATCAATAGGAGCACTGAGCACTCAGAGCCTCTAAAACGGTGTTTCCCGAATCATGGGTCCTCATCCCCCAGAAGGTCACAAGAAGAGTCTAGATGGATGACCTAGAAACCCTCTGGCTGTGTCTACACTGGTATGAATTTCCAGAACTGCTTAAAACGGAATACTATTCTGTTTTCAGTTTTTCCGGAAAAGGAGCATCTACATTGGCAGGTTGCTTTTCCGGAAAAGCCCTTGCTGGGCAGCCGCACATTGCGGCTCCAGGACCTGGAGGGTAGCCATGCACCACAGCTCTGGCCCCATCAGGCAGCCATGCACTGGTGCCATGGCTCCCTGCTCCACCGGGCCACCACTACAGCTCTCAGCCCCGCCAGGCAGCCACAAGCTGGCCTGCTTCTCACCCACATTCTCTGAATAGGCTGCCTGCAGCAGGAACAGTGTCGGGCAAACTGGAGCCACCGGCTGCCAGCAATGTCTCCTTAACTGCTAAGGAGGCATGTGGGAGTGGACGGAAGGGGAGAAGGGAGGGAGAAGTCCCTTGCAGGAGTCAGAGGGAAGGGAAGGCCCCTCCCAGTCCCTTCCCTGCATCGGGTGCCTTTAGGGAG